ACTATTCCAAGACGTAGTTCGTGCGATGGTACAACAATCAAATTTTTCTCTTCTTTCGGCGATTTTTCGTCCTCCTCCGACTAAAATCTGACGAATATTTTATCGCCGCAACCCGCGGCTTCAAGCAGTCTCGTTACCATCTTCTAAGAAATGTTCTTAAAACTGTTACGAACTATATTATCCAAGGTACACACAGAGAGTGCGAAGCTCTCGTGAGGACCTTAAAAATTTCCGCCCTTGCGGGGAATTCTTCGTCTCTCTTCACCTCGCAAGCAGTGACAATTTTGCCGCGTGTACGGAGGAGATGATTGCTTAGAAATCGTTACGAGAAGATTCCGTGGGGAGAGGGTTCTCTTCTGAACACTAGTTTCAATGAATGTGTCACTATCTCGCGAAGTACTCATGCGTTCTTTCGGGAGCCCACTGACGATGAGGATTCATTCACTTTCTCGCAAAATGAATAGTTTTCGAATTTTCATCAAGTTTTCTGTGGTCAGATCAGATCAACGATCGACAGCACTTATTCTGGATTCGAATTTCAGTCATTTTGTGGGATGTCATTTGAGTCATTTTAGGAGAGTCATTTCAGTCATTTAGTTGACAAGTGAGTCATTTCAGTGATCCGCTAGTGGGATCGTCGTTGAATTCTCAAACTTTTCAATTTTAGGAGAATATGATTGATTTTGACACCCCAATCGATGAACTCACTAATGTACATACAAGCCAATCACCACCGTCGAATGTTCACCATCAGAATCAACCTCAACAATTGTTGCTGTCAGAAATGAATCCAGATAATCCGTTGACCAGTGAGAGTCTGTCATCGCACGACTCTGAAGATAGCAATGGTTTCATTCGAGTCGACGAACCTTTCATCGATCCATTGCTGTCTGAGTAATTATTCTTTATTGACATTATTTTGCTATTACTTATTAATATTCTTGATGGCATCTGCTCTTGACACTGAGACGACATTGTTATCAGATATTATTACAGTATTCTCAAAAGAAATACTTTGAGCAATATTATTTTTCTAAAGATGTTTGCCTAGAAATTTGATAGGTTTAAAGCGTTTATGAAGGAGCTTA